GGGGTGTGGAGATGCTGGGGGTGGGTGTGGGGGGGGTGGAGATGCTGGGGGGGGTGTGGAGATGCTGGGGGGGTGGTGGAGATGCTCGGGGGGGGGGGGGGGTGGTGGAGATGGCTTTGGGCGCGGCCCGAGCGCGGTACAGAGGCGCCAGTGTAGGTTGCGAGCGGCGCGGGGTCGCCCCGTGATGTAACCGCGTGGCGGGGTGACATCGCGGTCGTGTTCACCAGGGCCAGCCGTGCCGGCTTACGCCACGCGCCGCACGCGCACACGCCACGTGCCGCCGCCGCACGCACGGGCGTGAGACAAAGGCCCCCCCCCCCCCCGTTTATGGGCTCAGCAGACTTCTTCTTCGGGGTGGAAACTTTTGTTCGAGAGCAGCCATGCAAGGCCGGCGCGGTCCACGAGGGGGTATGGGAGGGGGGTAAGCCAGAAAAAAAAAGACGTGGTCCAGCCGCCTTTGTCTCTCCCGCGTGGCGATGTTTACTACACCGCACCAGGTCCTACATTTGGGGCCGAGTCGACCTAGGGGAGGCCCATGACCGGTTGAGATAATCGTCAACGATGTTGGCCGTGAGCGGGAATCGAATTCGGGTCGCCGAGTTGGTAGCGCAGACGTAGCGCTCACCGCTACACACACCGTCCCCACCTTGTACCAGAGACAAAGCTCCCCTGTGTAGCCTAAACAGACTGCAGGGGCAAGTGCTGTTAGCGATTAGCACCTGTGAAGGCCGGCACGGCACACGAGGGGGTGGGTGGGTGGCCAGCACCACGCCCGACCGCCTTTGTCTCCCTAGTGGCAATGTTTACACACCGTACCAGGTACTAATTTGAGGCTGAGTCGACCTAGGGGAGTCTCTGGACCGATTGAGATGATCGTCACCGGTGTTGGCCGTGAGCAGGAATCGAACTCGCTCCATACTACACACTCGTACACATTTAGTTCAGCAGAACGGTGTCCAGAGGTCGCTGATTTGATTCGATCTCCCTGCGCGGCAGTGGAAATATTTGTGCACGTTTATCACCCTCTCCCCGCCCCGCCTCTATCCATCCAGCAGTATAAAAAAAGTTATCCCGAGTTAGTCTTCGTGTGTGGTGGGGTAAAGTACTCGCACGTCCCCTAAGACGTGTGGCGAGGGTGGGAAGAGAAGACCAAAGGACCCTCTCTCGACAGAGCTCCCTCTCGTGGGAGGCGCCTTCCGCCAGCAGTGGCGTGAGAGAGGAAGTGCAGAGCTGCGCTTCTTTCATCGTTCACACACAATCATACACACAAACACAATCACACACTCGCTCGTAACTTCACCAAAGTGTCATTTTAAAATTATATTGGGGACCACCGCCCGTAGGCCCAGGCTTTTTCCGCGCTTTCCTAGAACTCGTAGCCGCGTCCCAGGTGGCCCTACCCCCGTGGCTACGTGGAGCGGGACGGCGGGGAGTTTGGACTGTGACGATGATGGACGGAGACGAAGCGGATAACGAGGCCGAGTGGGGGCACGGAGTGGGGGGCACGGAGTGAGGCGGTGGGCAGCGAGAGAGGGGGGCGGGTGTGGGAGACGTTAATGTCGCCTCTGTGACGGCGGCGAGTGCGAGGAGTAGGTGGGGGGACGTGCGGACAGCGCTGGCAGTGATGGCGGGAACTCCGCGCCACGTCCGCCGGGCGCGGCAACAGCAGCAGCAGCAACAGCGGCAGCAGCAGCAACAACAACAACAAAGGCGGCAGTGTGCTGCGGGGAGAAGGGGGGAGCAGGGAGAAAGCCGCTGCTGCTGCCGACACTTGAGGAGGGGGGGGTGGGGGGCAGAGATACGGAGGCGGTGGTGAGGGGGGAGCAGGGGGACACGGGGACCCTGGCCAGCCGTGCTCCACGCTGCCAAATCGGGGATCATGAAGGAGCGTTAGGGGGTAATGAGTGGCGTGAGGGAATGATGGGGGGTCATGAAGCCAGGGATGATGATACAGTGAGGGGGTCTCTAAGGAGCGAGGGGATCATGAGTGACGTCCAGGATTCACGAAGTGAGGGGATCATGGGTGAAGTCGGGGTTCTCAAGGGAGTGCAGGGATTGAGGGGTCGTGGGGGGATCATTAGGGATCGTGAGGTAGTGAGGGTAGTGACTCGTGAGGGGATCACGAGGGGGATCAGGGCGTTGTTACATAAACTCTGTTTCAGCGAGTCCCCCGTCAGTCATCCGAAGCAGCGCGGAGCTGAGGGAAACATTGACTTAGCGGGTTTAATGTCATCGCCACTGGGGGTGAGGCGGTGGTGGTGGTGGGGTGAGGCGGTGGTGGTGGGGTGAGGCGGTGGTGGTGGGGTGAGGCGGTGGTGGTGGTGGGTGAGACGGTGGGTGGTGGTGGGTGAGGCGGTGGTGGGGTGAGACGGTGGTGGTGGTGGGGTGAGGCGGTGGTGGTGGGGTGAGGTGGTGGTGGGGTGAGACGATGGTGGTGGGGTGAGACGGTGGTGGTGGTGGGGTGAGACGGTGGTGGTGGGGTGAGGCGGTGGTGGTGGGGTGAGGCGACGGTGGTGGGGTGAGGCGGTGGTGGTGGGGTGAGGCGGTGGTGGTGGGGTGAGACGGTGGTGGGGTGAGACGGTGGTGGTTGTGGGGTGAGACGGTGGTGGTGGGGTGAGACGGTGGTGGTGGGGTGAGGCGGTGGGGTTAGACGGTGGTGGTGGGGTGAGGCGATGGTGGTGGGGTGAGACGGTGGTGGTGGGGTGAGGCGGTGGTGGTGGGGTGAGACGGTGGTGGGGTGAGACGGTGGTGGTGGTGGTGGGGTGAGACGGTGGTGGTGGGGTGAGGCGGTGGTGGTGGGGTGAGACGGTGGTGGGGTGAGACGGTGGTGGTGGTGGGGTGAGAGGGTGGTGGTGGAGTGAGGCGGTGGTGGTGGGGTGAGGCGGTGGTGGTGGGGTGCGGTGGTGGTGGGGAGGCGTGGTGGTGGGAGGCGGTGTGGTGGGGTGAGACGGTGGTGGTGGGTGAGGCGGTGGTGGTGGGGTGAGACGGTGGTGGTGGGGTGAGACGGTGGTGGTGGTGGGGTGAGACGGTGGTGGTGGTGGGTGACCGTGGGTGTGATGTTGGGATGGACCCTGCGGTGGTACAGGCGGGAGGCTTTGGCGAGTCGGTGGGGAGGTGAGGGGTCGGCGCGGGGGGCTAAAGGCGAGGAGGATGTGCCGAGATGTTAACTACCTCGCTTGAATCTTGACTTAAAGCTTTCGTGACTGCAGTAATTCACATTCTTGGGTCTTTCGGTAAAGTCACGTAGATAGGTTCAAAGTAAATTACAAAAAAAACTACTACGTTTCGATCGCAACACAAGCGGACGACCACTTGTGTTGCGATCGAAACGTCGTAGTTTTTTTGTAATTTTCTTTGAACCTATCTACGTGACTTTACCGAAAGACCCAATAATACCTCGCTTGGTGTACAAGGAGGTCGTGGGTACGATCCCGACCCTGACGCCTGCTGTGTATTTGAGTCTCTCTCCCCGTGCGTCTGGCACTGGGGTTCTTTTACCCTCCACATTCATAAACATGCGTTTAGAGTATTTGGCTGCGATGAATTTCCACGTGACAAGTTACTTTCTTGAGCTATCATTTGTGACCAGGTAGCTTCTGAAAAAGATCTACAACTGCGTGGACCTTTCCTGGTAAAACATAACATTAAAAAATATATATAATGTTGAAGTTGAGGTGATGCGCAGGTGATGCGGGATGATGTGATCCGGCGTTGGTGATGACGATCGGCAAGTGATGGAGTTGGGGGGGTGGTGGTGCTGGCGGAGGATGTTGGAGAGGTTACGGGGTGACTGCGTTGGTCGGAGGCGGTGCGGGGAAGTTTGTGGAGGGGAGGAGGAGGTGGGGAGAGGAGGTGGGGGGCGGGATGCGAGGGGCCGCGCCGGGGTTTATTAAGGAGCTGGAGGCTGTAGCGGCGCGGAGTTCGGTTCGGGTAGAGGAGGAGTGAGAAGAGAGGAGGAGGAGGCGCAGTGCTCGACTTGAGAGGAGAGAGAGAGAGACACGCGGAAGCGAGTGAACGCAGCGATGAGCGGGACTCCCCCATCCACCTCTTCACTCACCTTACCAGCAATCACCTCATCACTTACCTCAACAACACCACCACCACGCACTTCTCCACTGACTTCATCAGCACCACGACGCACATCTTCATCCTCACTGAAACCACCACGCACCTCATCACACTCCTCAACATCGCTTACTTCTCCACTCTACTCAACCTCACCACTCACCTCTTCACACTCACCACCACACACCTCTCCACTCTCCTCAACATCTCCCTCGTCGTCGCTCGTGCTGATGAAGACCCTGGGGCTCTGGTGGTGGGTGCTGGTGGCCGCCGCGCTGCTGCGGGCGCCTCCGGCGGGCGCCCAGACCCCCGTGTCCCCCCTCCGCGGGGGGCCCCCGGCGGCCAGGCGAGGTGTGGAGGCAACTGATCCAGTGGGAGAAACAACGGGCAAGTGTACAGCCTCCTCAACTCCGGGCCCGAGTACCTGCCCGGGGGCAGCAGCGCCCACAACCAGGGCCGCAACACATTCTGGCTGGGAGCGGGTGGACAGCAGCCGGGGGCAGCCGCAGCTGCAGCAAGGGCAGCAGCAGCAGCGTCGGCAGCAACAGCAGCAGCAGCAGGGGTCAAGCGGGACCCGTGGACAGGGACGCAGGCAGACCCCCTCTGCCCCTCGACCCAGCCCAGTGACACAGACCAGAAGAACTGGTGGTGGTGGTGGCGGTAGCAGCAGCAGCTACTGGTGGCAGACCAACTCCGGCTCATGGGCGACCGCAAGACCCCACGCGTCTGCCCCGGCCGCGCCGCGACCCCAAGCGGCCGCGCCGCGACCCCAAGCGGCCGCGCCGCGACCTCAGGCGGCCCCGCCGCGACCCCTGGCCGCACCGCTCCCCGCGCCCCGGACCCAGACGGCCACAACCTCAGCAGCTTCAGCAGCAGCAGCCACGGCCCCGGCGCCGGCACCGCCCCGCAACGCGAGACCCGCCGAGACGCCGGCATCCGTGGCCATACAGGACGGGATGACTGGGCGACAGCAGCAAGGGGGGCTGCCTAGGGTGCAGGGGGTCCCCGAGGGGACACGAGCCGGTCAGGGCGTGGGGGATGACCCGAACTCCAACACGTACCGCCACGAGGAGAACCCCTACTACAGGAACCCCTACCCGCCCTTCCTCAGCAACCGCGTGCCGCCCCGGACTCCGCAGCGAACCCGTAAGAAGTTTACCTGCGTGGAGGGGGGGAGGGGTGTAACGGGGAACAACTTGCAGGGGGTTGGTGTAGGGGGTTCTAAATCAGGTGGTTTGTGTAGGGGTTCTAAGTCAACGGGGTCCGCGTTGGGGTCCTAAGTGAACGGGGTCCGTGTAGGGGTTCTTAGAAATTAACCCCGAAGGGGGGGGGCTGTCCCCCGACTCACAACCATTGCTGAATGCTGAACCTCCCCACCACAACTCCCCCCTGCTCAATTCTCCGATGTGTTGTCGTGTTGTATACCGCGCGTTCAGCACGACATCTGACGTTTTCCTGCACGTGCCAGGTAAACTTCAATGTTCGGGAATCGTTCCGAACAACAGACGGAAACAGCTACGCAGCACACGCTGCGTAGCTGTATTGCCCTTATGACATTCTTGTCGTCGGGAGCTCTTATAGTATATGGTTCTTATATTTTATTGTTCCCACTGGTGGAGCCAGTGGGGGGTGGCACGTGCCCCCCCCCCCATGATCCGATCGAAATCCCTCATTTCGATCGGAGCATTGGGGTGTATTAGTAAGAAATCGGCATTTTGCGACCCCCACTGCCACTGTGTAGCATATTATCACGTGCCAGGGACTCTATGAGATGATAGGACAATAGTCTGAGTCCATAATTGGCAATAAGTAACGGCAAAGCGGTTATAAGTGACTCAGAATTGTGCGCAGTTGCGTATACAGTCCACGACTTCCCTGAAGGCACTAACACCTTCAACGAGCGCGGTGCCGATCACACAACGCGGTTCGAATTCGACCCTTGATCGGTGGCTGCGCCATCGCCACACACGCGTCGGATAAAAAAACAAAGGACAATTCCTTACTAACAACTCCTTACTAACAACTCCTTACTTACTAACAACTCCTTACTAACAACTCCTTACTTACTAACAACTCCTTACTAACAACTCCTTACTAACAACTCCTTACTAACAACTCCTTACTAACAACTCCTTACGTACTAACAACTCCTTACGTACTAACAACTCCCTACTATCAACTCCTTACTAACACCTTGCTTACTAACAACTCCTTACTAACAACTCCTTACTTACTAACAACTCTATCATTTTTCATTGCTGACGGGTTGCCCCCCCCCCCTACCTGAAAATCCTGGCTCCGCCATTGATTGTTCCCATATCCATTGGATCTTTTGGTATTGTTCTCATAGTCTAGAGTTCTCATAGTCTAGAGTTGTTATAGTCTAGAGTTGTTATAGTCTAGTGTTCTCATAGTCTAGAGTTGTTATAGTCTAGAGTTGTTATAGTCTAGTGTTGTTATAGTCTAGAGTTGTTATAGTCTAGAGTTCTCATAGTCTAGAGTTGTTATAGTCTAGTGTTGTTATAGTCTAGAGTTGTTATAGTCTATTGTTCTCATAGTCTAGAGTTCTCATAGTCGAGAGTTGTTATAGTCTAGAGTTCTCATAGTCTAGAGTTGTTATAGTCTAGAGTTCCCATAGTCTAGAGTTGTTATAGTCTAGTGTTCTCATAGTCTAGAGTTGTTATAGTCTAGAGTTGTTATAGTCTAGAGTTGTTATAGTCTAGAGTTGTTATAGTCTAGTGTTCTCATATTCTAGAGTTGTTATAGTCTAGAGTTCTCATAGTCTAGAGTTCTCATAGTCTAGAGTTCTCATAGTCTAGAGTTGTTATAGTCTAGTGTTCTCATAGTCTAGAGTTGTTATAGTCTAGAGTTGTTATAGTCTAGTGTTGTTATAGTCTAGGGTTATAGTCTAGAGTTGTTATAGTCTAGAGTTGTTATAGTCTAGAGTTGGTATAGTCTAGAGTTGTTATAGTCTAGAGTTGTTATAGTCTAGGGTTGTTATAGGTCTAGAGTTGTTATAGTTTAGTGTTGTTATAGTCTAGAGTTGTTATAGTCTAGAGTTCTCATAGTCTCGTGTTGTTATAGTCTAGAGTTGTCATAGTCTAGAGTTGTTATAGTCTAGAGTTGTTATAGTCTAGAGTTGTTATAGTCTAGGGTTGTTATAGTCTAGAGTTGTTATAGTCTAGGGTTGTTATAGTCTAGTGTTGTTATAGTCTAGTGTTGTTATAGTCTAGAGTTGTTATAGTCTAGAGTTGTTATAGTCTAGTGTTGTTATAGTCTAGAGTTATAGTCTAGAGTTCTCATAGTATAGAGTTGCTATAGTCTAGAGTTGTTATAGTCTAGAGTTGTTATAGTCTAGAGTTCTCATAGTCTAGAGTTCTCATAGTCTAGAGTTGTTATAGTCTAGAGTTGTTATAGTCTAGGGTTGTTATAGTCTAGTGTTGTTATAGTCTAGAGTTTTATAGTCTAGAGTTGTTATAGTCTAGAGTTGTTATAGTCTAGTGTTGTTATAGTCTTGAGTTGTCATAGTCTAGAGTTGTTATAGTCTAGGGTTGTTATAGTCTAGAGTTGTTATAGTCTAGAGTTGTTATAGTCTAGGGTTGTTGTAGTCTAGAGTTGTTATAGTCTAGAGTTGTTATAGTCTAGGGTTGTTATAGTCTAGTGTTGTTATAGTCTAGAGTTGTTATAGTCTAGAGTTGTTATAGTCTAGTGTTCTCATAGTCTAGAGTTGTTATAGTCTAGAGTTCTTATAGTCTAGAGTTGTTATAGTCTGGTGTTGTTATAGTCTAGTGTTGTTATAGTCTAGAGTTGTTATAGTCTAGAGTTCTCATAGTCTAGAGTTCTCATAGTCTAGAGTTGTTATAGTCTAGTGTTGTTATAGTCTAGAGTTGTTATAGTCTCGTGTTGTTATAGTCTAGAGTTATAGTCTAGAGTTGTCATAGTCTAGAGTTCTTATAGTCTAGAGTTCTTATAGTCTAGAGTTGTTATAGTCTAGAGTTGTTATAGTCTAGTGTTGTTATAGTCTAGTGTTCTCATAGTCTAGAGTTGTTATAGTCTAGAGTTGTTATAGTCTAGTGTTCTCATAGTCTAGAGTTGTTATAGTCTAGAGGTTGTTATAGTCTAGAGTTGTTATAGTCCTAGAGTTGTTATAGTCCTAGAGTTCTCATAGTCTAGAGTGTTATAGTCTAGTGTTGTTATAGTCTAGAGTTGTTATAGTCTATTGTTCTCATAGTCTAGAGTTCTCATAGTCGAGAGTTGTTATAGTCTAGAGTTCTCATAGTCTAGAGTTGTTATAGTCTAGAGTTCCCATAGTCTAGAGTTGTTATAGTCTAGTGTTCTCATAGTCTAGAGTTGTTATAGTCTAGAGTTGTTATAGTCCTAGAGTGTTATAGTCTAGAGTTGTTATAGTCTAGTGTTCTCATATTCTAGAGTTTGTTATAGTCTAGAGTTCTCATAGTCTAGAGTTCTCATAGTCTAGAGTTCTCATAGTCTAGAGTTGTTATAGTCTAGTGTTCTCATAGTCTAGAGTTGTTATAGTCTAGAGTTGTTATAGTCTAGTGTTGTTATAGTCTAGGGTTATAGTCTAGAGTTGTTATAGTCTAGAGTTGTTATAGTCTAGAGTTGTTATAGTCTAGAGTTGTTATAGTCTAGAGTTGTTATAGTCTAGGGTTGTTATAGTCTAGAGTTGTTATAGTTTAGTGTTGTTATAGTCTAGAGTTGTTATAGTCTAGAGTTCTCATAGTCTCGTGTTGTTATAGTCTAGAGTTGTCATAGTCTAGAGTTGTTATAGTCTAGAGTTGTTATAGTCTAGAGTTGTTATAGTCTAGGGTTGTATAGTCTAGAGTTGTTATAGTCTAGGGTTGTTATAGTCTAGTGTTGTTATAGTCTAGTGTTGTTATAGTCTAGAGTTGTTATAGTCTAGAGTTGTTATAGTCTAGAGTTGTTATAGTCTAGAGTTATAGTCTAGAGTTCTCATAGTATAGAGTTGCTATAGTCTAGAGTTGTTATAGTCTAGAGTTGTTATAGTCTAGTGTTCTCATAGTCTAGAGTTCTCATAGTCTAGAGTTGTTATAGTCTAGAGTTGTTATAGTCTAGGGTTGTTATAGTCTAGTGTTGTTATAGTCTAGAGTTGTTATAGTCTAGAGTTGTTATAGTCTAGAGTTGTTATAGTCTAGTGTTGTTATAGTCTTGAGTTGTCATAGTCTAGAGTTGTTATAGTCTAGGGTTGTTATAGTCTAGAGTTGTTATAGTCTAGAGTTGTTATAGTCTAGGGTTGTTGTAGTCTAGAGTTGTTATAGTCTAGAGTTGTTATAGTCTAGGGTTGTTATAGTCTAGTGTTGTTATAGTCTAGAGTTGTTATAGTCTAGAGTTGTTATAGTCTAGTGTTCTCATAGTCTAGAGTTGTTATAGTCTAGAGTTCTTATAGTCTAGAGTTGTTATAGTCTGGTGTTGTTATAGTCTAGTGTTGTTATAGTCTAGAGTTGTTATAGTCTAGAGTTCTCATAGTCTAGAGTTCTCATAGTCTAGAGTTGTTATAGTCTAGTGTTGTTATAGTCTAGAGTGTTATAGTCTCGTGTTGTTATAGTCTAGAGTTATAGTCTAGAGTTGTCATAGTCTAGAGTTCTTATAGTCTAGAGTTCTTATAGTCTAGAGTTGTTATAGTCTAGAGTTGTTATAGTCTAGTGTTGTTATAGTCTAGTGTTCTCATAGTCTTAGAGTTGTTATAGTCTAGAGTTGTTATAGTCTAGTGTTCTCATAGTCTAGAGTTGTTATAGTCTAGAGTTGTTATAGTCTCGGGTTCTCATAGTCTAGAGTTGTTATTGTCTAGTGTTCTCATAGTCTAGAGTTCTCATAGTCTAGAGTTGTTATAGTCTAGTGTTGTTATAGTCTAGAGTTGGTATAGTCAAGAGTTGTATAGTCTAGAGTTGTTATAGTCTAGAGTTGTTATAGTCTAGAGTTGTTATAGTCTAGGGTTGTTATAGTCTAGGGTTGTTATAGTCTAGAGTTGTTATAGTCTAGGGTTGTTATAGTCTAGAGTTGTTATAGTTTAGGGTTGTTATAGTCTAGAGTTGTTATAGTCTAGAGTTCTCATAGTCTCGTGTTGTTATAGTCTAGAGTTGTCATAGTCTAGAGTTGTTATAGTCTAGAGTTGTTATAGTCTAGAGTTGTTATAGTCTAGGGTTGTTATAGTCTAGAGTTGTTATAGTCTAGGGTTGTTATAGGTCTAGTGTTGTTATAGTCTAGTGTTGTTATAGTCTAGAGTTGTTATAGTCTAGAGTTTGTTATAGTCTAGAGTTGTTATAGTTTAGAGGTTATAGTCTAGAGTTCTCATAGTATAGAGTTTGCTATAGTCTAGAGTTGTTATAGTCTAGAGTTGTTATAGTCTAGTGTTCTCATAGTCTAGAGTTCTCATAGTCTAGAGTTGTTATAGTCTAGAGTTGTTATAGTCTAGGGTTGTTATAGTCTAGTGTTGTTATAGTCTAGAGTTGTTATAGTCTAGAGTTGTTATAGTCTAGTGTTGTTATAGTCTAGAGTTGTTATAGTCTAGAGTTGTTATAGTCTAGTGTTGTTATAGTCTAGAGTTGTCATAGTCTAGAGTTGTTATAGTCTAGAGTTGTTATAGTCTAGAGTTGTTATAGTCTAGAGTTGTTATAGTCTAGGGTTGTTATAGTCTAGAGTTGTTATAGTCTAGAGTTGTTATAGTCTAGGGTTGTTATAGTCTAGTGTTGTTATAGTCTAGTGTTGTTATAGTCCTAGAGTTGTTATAGTCTCTAGAGTCGTTATAGTCTAGTGTTCTCATAGTCTAGAGTTGTTATAGTCTAGAGTTCTTATAGTCCTAGAGTTGTTTATAGTCTGGTGTTGTTATAGTCTAGTGTTGTTATAGTCTAGAGTTGTTATAGTCTAGGAGTTCTCATAGTCTAGAGTTATAGTCTAGAGTTGTCATAGTCTAGAGTTCTTATAGTCTAGAGTTCTTATAGTCTAGAGTTGTTATAGTCTAGAGTTGTTATAGTTCTAGTGTTGTTATAGTCTAGTGTTCTCATAGTCTAGAGTTGTTATAGTCTAGAGTTGTTATAGTCTAGTGTTTCTCATAGTCTAGAGTTGTTATAGTCTAGAGTTGTTATAGTCTCGGGTTCTCATAGTCTAGAGTTGTTATTGTCTAGTGTTCTCATAGTCTAGAGTTCTCATAGTCTAGAGTTGTTATAGTCTAGTGTTGTTATAGTCTAGAGTTGGTATAGTCAAGAGTTGTTATAGTCTAGAGTTGTTATAGTCTAGAGTTGTTATAGTCTAGAGTTGTTATAGTCTAGAGTTGTTATAGTCTAGGGTTGTTATAGTCTAGGGTTGTTATAGTCTAGGGTTGTTATAGTCTAGTGTTGTTATAGTCAAGAGTTGTTATAGTCTAGGGTTCTTATAGTCTAGAGTTGTTATAGTCTAGAGTTATAGTCTAGAGTTCTCATAGTCTAGGGTTCTCATAGTCTAGAGTTGTTATACTCTAGTGTTCTCATAGTCTAGAGTTGTCATAGTTTAGAGTTGTTATAGTTTAGAGTTCTTATAGTCTAGAGTGTTATAGTCTAGAGTTCTCATAGTGTAGAGTTGTTATAGTCTAGAGTTGTTATAGTCTAGAGTTGTCATAGTGTATAGTTGTTATAGTCTAGAGTTATAGTCTAGAGTTATCATAGTCTAGAGTTATCATAGTCTAGAGTTGTCATAGTCTAGAGTTGTTATAGTCTAGTGTTCTCATAGTCTAGAGTTGTCATAGTCTAGTGTTGTTATAGTCTAGAGTTCTTATAGTCTAGAGTTGTTATAGTTTAGAGTTCTTATTGTCTAGAGTTGTTATAGTCTAGAGTTCTCATAGTCTAGGGTTATCATAGTCTAGTGTTCTCATAGTCTAGAGTTGTTATAGTCTCAGTGTTGTTATAGTCTAGTGTTGTTATAGTCTAGAGTTGTTATAGTCTAGTGTTGTTATAGTCTAGAGTTGTTTTAGTCTAGAGTTGTTATAGTCTAGAGTTGTTATAGTCTAGAGTTGTTATAGTCTAGGGTTCTTATAGTCTATTGTTCTTATAGTCTATTGTTCTTATAGTCTATTGTTCTTATAGTCTATTGTTCTTATAGTCTAGAGTTGTTATAGTCTGGTGTTGTCATAGTCTAGTGTTGGTATAGTCTAGTGTTGTTATAGTCTCGGGTTGTTCTTATAGTCTATTGTTCTCATAGTCTGTTGTTCTTATAGTCTAGGGTAGGGGTCAACAACCTACTTCTCTGGACGACTTCACGACGTTTGTTAATTAGGACCCCACCGTCTCGCATTGACTACAGTGAATTGCGGCTCTTGAAGTATTGCTGGGGGGGGGTTTCGAATTCGCAAAATTTCTATAACCCTAAAATCGTGTTTTTGCACGACCGGCGACGGCATGAAAACCGGTAAATGCCGGTTACCGGTTTGTTGCGCTATATAACAGATATGTCTGGAGACATACAGTTAAGTATACCATGGCTGTGAAACGAAGGTTGCTGCACAGTGGTGGTGTAATAGTGTAATGTTACGACGTCGGTAGCTTTCTTGCTGTGATAGTCCCACCTGATGACGATTGCTTGTGTTGCGATCGAAACGTCGTGATCTATTAATTTTCTACCTACGTGACTTTACCGAAAGAACCAAAAAGTATGGATTCCTGCAGTCACGAAAGCTTCAAATCAAGATCGAATAGTGTAATGGTCAGCAACAAACTGGACTTTCACGGTCCAGAGGTCACCGGTTCAACTCAATCTCCGGGCGCGGCATTTGAAACAATGGTGGTGGCAGTTTTTATTTTGTTTTGTTGTCCCTCCGGCCCCATCGCCTCTGTCCGGCCCCAGCAGTGTGAATGGGCTCAGTGAGGTAAAACGTGGTGGGTACTCCCACCTGGAGCGTGTTACGGGGGGTGTGCGCTCGAACAGAACGCAAGACGGACAACATCACAGCTCGTACCGTGACTCATCCTGGCTTTAGAGGTTTGGATAGCACGGGGAGTTCGTTCGAGAGAGGCCTCTCTCTGTGTCCAAACGCAGTCATCTGTGGCGGCAGTACACCAGCATTGCGGTTCAAGTGAGAGCTTGGCTTCTTCTGCTGATGAGAGACACCGACCGAATGTCCGAGACTGGTTCAGAGTAGGGTTTTTTTTTGGTGTTTGTGTTGAACCAAATGGTGCTCAAACGAAAAAGAAATTCACTGCCAGTACAGAAGGCCGTGGCGGCTTATGGGATGTGTAAAATAAATACTTGTGTATATTTCAGAATTTATATTTATACTGGAGGAATCCGATGAGCAACAAAGCTCTTTTTCACAGATGTCCAGTATATATATTCGTTTATGTGGAAAACACAGTTATGGGAAGGGAGTCGGAGTTGCCTCATTGTTTATGCCTTAACATCTGTTTAGAGTTTGACGTCCACTCTTGTGCCCCCTAATGACGTCTTCGATGTCCCCCCCCATCCTCCACCCCCACCCCAAACACGAACTCACGATGCTCGTGTGGGGGCACGCGCAAGGGGGTCCTGCTGCAGGGTATTCACGTGTCCGTGTAAGGGGAAATTTGTGTAGGCATGTGAGTCAGCGTTAGGAAACCGTGTTCGGGATGGGGGTAAATGTTTAGAGGATAGAGGAGACAGTGTGAAGGTTAAGAGACAGCGTTAGGGATGGGCGTCGGTGGTAGAGATAGGAGGCAGTGTTTAGAGACAGGAGTTAGAGTTACGGATAAGAGTCGGTGGTCGGGATAGGGAGTCAATGGTTGAGATAGGAGAGGAGGCAGTGGTAGAGATAGGAGGCAGTTTTAGTTATAAAAGGTCTTGAAAGGGGTCCGTTTCGGTTTTGTGGATTCTGTACAGGAAGTACAGGCAGGCGGTTTCCTCGTAAGGATCCGCATAGGTACGTACCCCCTTGATGGGGATACTTAGAGGGGTCACATTGCGGGGGTCTGGGCAAAGGGTTCATACAGGGGGATTGGGCATCCTTGTGCTCGCCTGAATCTGCCTGTCACGGAGACTGTGTCCGTGCCCTACGTGACTCGTGCCCTTTGTGACCCCCGTGCCCTTTGTGACCCAATGACCCCGTGCCCCCTAGCTCTCCCTGACCTGGTACCGGACCCCTACTACATCCAGGTGTCCACCTACATCCAGCGGGCTCACCCTCTACTCCCTGCGCTGCGCCGCCGAGGAAAAATGCCTGGCCAGGTGAGGGGGAGGGAGGGTGGGGGGGGGAGGGAGGGTGGGGGGGGAGGAAATGGTTGGGGGGCGGGGGGGGAAACTCGACAGGGACAGTCACTGACAGCGCGTCTCCCACCTGCTCCCCCGCTCTCTCTGTTGACCCTTCTCCCGCCTCCTTCCCTCTCCCCTTTCTCCCACTCCGTCTTTCCCTGCTGCCACCTGCTTCTCAACTCTCACCCTCTTCCCTGCTCCCACCATCTCTCCCCATTCTTCCTCCTACCGTATATCCTCTCTCCCTGTCCCCCCCCCCCCAGCACGGCGTACCGCCCCGAGGCGGCTGACTACGACGTGCGTGTCCTCCTGCCGCTTCCCGCAGAAAGTGAAGAACCAGGGCACCGCCGACTTCCTGCCCCAGCCGCCCCCGCGAGGCGTGGGAGTGGCACGCGTGCCACCAGTGAGCCGCACTTCGACAATCGTGTGCCGCGCCGCGCCAGAAGCCCCACCACGGCGATAGCTCGCCACGCACGCCACTACACGAGGGCACAGCAAATAAAGATCCCCTGTGTAGCCTTAGACTGTTGGGGCAAGTGCTGTTAGCGAGCACCTATGAAGGCCGGAACCGCACACGAGGGGGTGGGTGGCCTGCACATCGCCCGGCCGCCTTTGTCTCCCCAGTGGCGATGATTTTACACACAGCACCAGGTACTCATTTGAGGCTGAGTCGTCCTAGGGGCGCCCCAGGACCGATTCAGATAATCGTCACTGGTGGTGGCCGTGAGCTGGAATCGAACTTGGGTGGCCAGGTTCGTAGCGCAGTGCGCTAACCGCTACACAACCGCTCCCCACAGCAAAACCAAAGATCCCCCGTATAGCCTTAACAGACTTGTTAGGGGCCAAGTGCTGTTAGCGAGCACCTTTAAGGGCCAGAACGGTACACAAGGGGGGGGGTGGCCAGCACCAACGCCCGACCGCCTTTGTATCTCCAGTGGCGATGTTTACTACACACCGCACAAGGTACTCATTTGAGGTTGAGTCGATCAAGGAGAGGCCCAGGACCGGGTCAGATAATTGTCACTGGTGTTGGCCATGAGCCGGGGAATCGAACCCGGATTGCCGGGTTCATAGTCCAGCGCGCTAACCCCCTCCACTATCGCTCCCCACAGTAGCACACCACACTCACACACACGCACACACACACTCACACACCACACTCACAAACATACTCTCCTTCACGCGTGCCGCCTGTGAGTGCGGCGCACAGCCATACTTCACAGATCATGTATCGTGCCCCACCAATACCTCACCAGCCTCGCCAATACCTGCTACAGCGATAACTCACAAACATGCCACTACACCACAGTACACACCACACACACACAATCGCACGTGCCGACAGGAATCGTAGCAGCCTACTCACCATACTTAACCAATATCAGACCTCACCACGCCACGCCTCGCCAATTCATCAAACACCTCATGCGTGCTACCAGCGAGGGCAGAGCCTCATTCCCCATACTTCACCATAAACGTAACCTCTCCAAGCGCCACCACTCCTCACCTCACCTTACTTCACCAAATATTTTGGTCCTTAGTTTCTCACCCAGTAGTTTCCGGAACGCTACTAGGCAGGCTTGAAGTTGGGATTATTAGCGAAAGACACTGCCGCTAGAATATTGGGTTGCAGCTTTCCATAGTATCCCTATATTATTGTACCCTACATTAATCTATATCCTATGAACAGGTTTATGACAAAATAAGGTGAAGGTTGATGTGCCGCGTTTGAGTAATTTCCCAAACAACGATTCGGGACTGTTCCGACTGAATTTCAGCACTGCCGTTACCTCACCAGTTCATCAGGACGCCAACAAATATCACGCTTGCCTCACCATGTCGCCAGGAACTCACCAGTACCTCACAAGTACCTCCTCACTCAACCCACATACACGCATACTACCAGTGAGGGCAGTAACTCACCAAATTTAACCAATAACATACCACACCTCACCAATACCTCACCACGCCTTCTTCCTCATAGGGTTACCACCTGTCCTGATTTTCCCAGGATCGCCCTCTTGTTGAGAGAGGTCGCTGCTGCTGCTGCTGCCGCTGCCATCCTAGGAAATCTATAACTCTTCTGAGGACGTCATAACTCCCAGTTTTTGTCGATTCTTAACGATAACGATGACGGTGGCAGTGGCGGTGGTTCGTCACTCCGGACATTGGTGCATTCACACGAAGCTCTCCTTCTCCTCCGCTAGTGTGAGATATACTTCATTTTCTATGACAGGCACCGGTGTTTTTGTATCTCAGAGGTGGCAACCCTAACTACTCACCACAACTCACTACGCCTCACCATTTTCTTGCGAACGCCCCATCTCACCCAATAACACCAACCCCAAATCTCCCACCACACCCCCTCACCATGCCCTCTGACACACGCCTCACCACACACCTCACCACACACCTCACCACACCCTACTCGCCAAACACCTCACCATCACACCTCCACCACATGCGTGTCTCTCCCACAGACACTTCCACAGCATGGACGAGTTCAGCCACTACAACCTGCTGGAGGCGGGCTCGGGCCGCAAGGTGGCGGAGGGCCACAAGGCGAGCTTCTGCCGGAGGACACGACCTGCGACTACGGCTACCGCAAGCGCTACGCCCTGCACAGCGCACACGCAGGTGACCCGCCGGTCATCTGTCTGGCCGCTGTGTCCTCTCGCACACGCGCGTGTGCGCACATGCACAAGTTGTGGGTCACGGGTGAAGCGTTGGCCTAGTGGTTAGCGCTACGAACCCGGCGACCCGAGTTCGATTCCCGCTCACGGCCAACACCGGTGACGTTATATGAAACCGGTTCTGGGCCTCCCTTAAATCGACTCAGCCTGAAATGCGTACCTGGTGCGGTGTGTGTAAATAGTGCCACTGTGGAGACAAAGGTGTGGTGGCGTTGGCCACCCACCCCTCGTGGTCCTCATAGGTGCTGCTCACGAACAGCACTACTATGCCCCAAAGGTATCTTCAGGCGATACGGGGGATCTTTTGTGTTGTTCAGTCACCCTCCCAACAACATCAGAAGGCGGAGGAGCGACGGTCGCAGTAAAGGAGCGGTTAGAATGCAGCGAGGTTGGTGCAGTGGGGATCACACAAGTAGTGCATCTGCCGGTCATCTCACTGAGTGAACCCACGGCACCTGGGTGTGCCCCGTGACCGCCTGCCAGCGAGTCTGCGACACTTCATGTGGCTCAAAGTGCACCTAGCCTGGCACAAGTGCCGTGGTGGCGTCATCGCCACTTAGTTGTGAACTGCAGTTGCTGTGGAGAGGGGTGGCGCAATGGTTAGCAAACTGCGCTACAAACCTAGCATCACGAGTTCGACTGACGCTCATGGCCAAGATTGTTGACAAATACCTGAACCTCCCCTAGGTCCACTCAGCCTTAAATTAGCACCTGGTGTGGGCTGTAAACATGAGCACTCGGGCAACAAAGGTGGCCGGGTGTGATGCTGCCACCCACCCCCTGGTGTGCCGTGTTGTCCTTCAGGCTATACGGGGGTCTTTGTTGAACGGGGCAATGGTGCAGACGTGGGCAGAGTGGAGGAGTTACCTTACCTCGGCAGTGTGCTTATAACCAGCTCTGGTTTAGCAACATAGGTTTCATTTTGAATCAAGTTAAGCGGAATAACATTTTCATCAGTTGCATAACGCTGCGTCGAAGCTACCTGGCGATCTCTTCACACTAAGATCCATGTCCTCTCTGACACAGTTAAGGCCTCCCCTTCTCTATGCTTTGGAATACCTGGACCCCTTTACAGTAACATCTGCAATGACTTGAAGAGTCAGGCTCGCCTGCCTCTGATCCTCCCTGGGTTTAACCAGGACTGGATTGTGTGAGGGAGCTCCCAAATCCACGAAAAAACTGGACACAGTCCCATCAATGAGCTCCTCCCGCAGGCGAGGCTACATTGGCTAGGTTATGTAGCCCGCATGCACAGCCTCTGCATGCCCAATACGCTTCTGTTTGACCAGATAGAGGAGGCTAAACGGGCATGGCATGGGCTACAGGAATTGATGGTATTGATCACCGGTACCAGCGGTGTCAAGATTGGACTCTATGGAGGAGGATCTGAAAGGACACTGCTGGGCATTTGGAGGCAGTCACCGTCCAACTACAACGGAGAGCAGAGGAGAGATGCTCACAACAACGAGTGGAGCGCCGGACGGCTACAACGCAGCGAGTTGGCAAGTGTGAAGCATAGATGGTGCCACTGCCAGACATGCCAGTCAGTTAACCCATGGCACCTGGGTATGTCCCGTGCACCTAGCCTGACACAGACGCTGTGGTCATGTCACCACTCAATGGTAAATGGTGCTCGTTATTTATCTCTCTGTATCTCTCTCTTTATATCTCCGTGTGGTTGTTTCCTCTCCCCCGTGTCTCCATGCCCCAGGGTCTGAGCCCCGGCTGCTATGACACCTACAACGCCGACATCGACTGCCAGTGGATCGACATCACCGACGTGCGGCCCGGGAACTACGTGCTGAGGGTTAGTGGCCGCCCTGCTCCCCCTGGATCCCCGCCTGCTCCATTGCCTCTCCCTGCTCCCCTTAACCACCACCCGATCCCCCTTGCTTCCACATACTACCCCTTCTCCCCTCTGCTATCCCCCCTGATCCTCCTTGCTCCCCTCTGCTACTCGTCAATCTGCCTCCCGCTCCCTCCCGGCTTCCGATGTCTCCCCCACACGCCCCCCCCATCCCCGCTCCGCTTTAACTTGTCCACGCGTGCCGCTGGTCGGAGGCAACGTCGGGCGAACTGCAGCAGCACCGTTACATCAGCAGCCGCGTGGTGGGGGGGGGGGGGGCTTTCCAGCCTTCGCGAGGCGCGATCGTCAGGGCCGGCCGCCGCTAGCGAAGGGAGTTGACGAACCACCACAGACGTGGCCGATTAGAACTTGCCGTGCGATTAACCTGCTCGGGCAATCGAGTCGTCCCAGGATTCACAACTTGTCCAACCCAGTGTAAGAGCAGCAGGGGATGGTTCTCGGTGAGAACGCCCGCATTGCGGCGGATGCGGCCGGTGTGGGAGGAATGATGCTGGAAGCTGTGGGATGTGCGGTGTCTGTACAGAGTTCAGGATCGGTGGCGTAGGAAAGCACGGTTGGCGATGTGGGGCGCTCGGTTGGTTCATGCAGTGTGCACGCGTGCGTCTGTGTGTAGGCTTGAGTACGTGTGGTGTGCACGCGTGCATGCGTTGTGTGCACCGCGTGCGTGCATGGTGTGTAGGCCTGCGTGTGTGTTAGTGTGGGGAGCGGTAGCGCGCTGCGCTATGAAACCAGCGATCTGGGTTCGATTCCTGCTCACGGCCAACACCAGTGACGATTATCTGAACCGGTCCCTGGGCCTCCTCTAGGTTGACTCAACCTCAAATGAGTATCTGGTGCGGTGTATAAACATCACCACTGGGGAGACAAAGGCGGTTGGGCGTGGTGCTGGCCCACGCACCCCTTCGTGTACTGTTCCGGTCTTCATAGGTGCTACTTGCTAACAGGACTTGCCCCCTACAGTCTGTTAAGGCTATACGGGGATCTTTGTGTGTGTCTATGGCATATGGGGAAGCGGTGGTGCAGTGGTTAGCGCGCTTCGCTGCAAATCTAGCCGATTCCCTCTCACGGCCAACCATCGGTGACAAATATCTGAACTGGTCCTGGGCCCCTCCCCGAGGTCGATTCAGCCATAAATGAGTTCCAGGTGCGGTGTGTAAACGTTAGCACTGGACATACAATGGTAGCGGGGAATCGTGGCACCACCCACCCTCCCAATTCATAGTTGCTCGCTAACGGCACTTGCCCCAAGAGTCTGTTAAAGGCTATACGGGGGGGGGGGGGGGGGGTGCGGAGGAGTTTGACTTTGTTGAGTGTCTGTGTCTATGTCTATATGTTTGAGAGGTGTGAGTGTATGGGGCGTGTGTATGTGTAGCGTGGTTGGCGTGGGCTCCTGCCTCTCCCTGTAGGAATTCCGCCTCCCCGCCCCTTGTTCTGTAGCCTGGGCATCCGAGCCACCCTGGCCCATGTGTCTAGGCGCAGTTGCACCGCCTACGCAAACTCGACGGTTCGGCCACCGACTCGTGGAGACCCGTAGAGCAAAGCCGTGTGAGCTCACTCTCGCTAAGTAAATGCAATTATCACCCCCCCCCCTCTCTTGGTTCAACCAAAATAAAACTTAAACATAACAAACCGTAATGAACTGCAGCTCTGCACACGGAATTCCTGGTCCGCAGCGAGCGGATGACTTCGGCGGGCTTTGTAAACGTGCAGCGGGGGATTCCGTCATAGGACGACGTTCCGTTGCTGGCACCTCGGGCGCTTTTCTGCCTAGAGTTTGTATCTTCTCTCCCTCTGTTTAGAATATTTTTTTATTCATACTGGAGGAATCCGAATGAGCTATAAAACTATTTTTCACAGATGTCCAGTAGTTTCACAGATGTCCAGTAGTTTCACAGATGTCCAGTAGTTTCACAGATGTCCAGTAGCTCTGTTCTGCGCGAGGCTCCTCCGGTTCTCCAGTTTCCTCCCAGAGCTTGAACAAAACCCACACAAGGTAACTGGTATTGGCCAAAACAGCCGCAACGCTGGAAAACATTCATCTGCAAATTACTCGAACGGGATAACAGACAGCAGCAGTAGCGCGGTTAGCTACGTACGGTGCGAAAGAAGTTCAACATGGACACATACAACGTCGCACCCCTACTGTGACAAACCTAGCAGGATCCTCCTGAAAAAGAGTCATGAGTCATAATAAAAGAAAGTTTATTAAATCCCCCCCCCCCACACCTCTATCCACTGAGCAGTATCAACAGGTCATCCACAGTTAAGTCAATCAGCAGGTCACGTGCTGTGGGGAAAAGTGTGGGTACTCCCACCTCCTCTAAGGCAATCTTGCAAGCAAGGATGCGTACGAATAATTGGCCAAATGCCCTCCTCGAGAGGGGTTCTCAGGAGTTTCCCTAAGTCAGGGGGAACCTTTTTCTGCCAAGGGCCATTTGGATATTTCTAACATCATTCGCGGGCCATACAAAATTATCAACTTAAAAATTAACCTGTTATATTTGGTCAAACATTTAATTAACTCACCCTAATGTGATGGCTGGAACTGCTTCTCTTTGGCGAGGCGTGTGATGTTAGCTGGTATTGACGATGTTGCTACTCGCAACTGCTTTTCCAGGTTTGCTCCTAGATTTATTGAATTTCGAGTCCCGCCTGCGGTTGCCTTGGCAGGGCCAGACCAAATGATTTTGCGGGCCTTATACGGCCCGCGGGCCCGGACGTTCCCCACGCCCTGCTCTAAGCAGAGGCCCTCTTCCGCCAGCAGAGGTGTGAGCGGGCAATTGCAGGGGCGTGTGCTTCTATCTTACAGCTGATCTGCAAGGCACCGCTGAGGTTTGCGAACCTTTCCCACCGCATTGAGCCGCGTGATATTTGCTGTGGCGGCAGTGTCATTGCGCCAGGGGCCATAGGGGAGGGGCGGCGAGGGGTGGCGGAGGGGCGGCGAGGGGCGGGGGGTTGAAATTTACTTTCGGGGGTGGAGTGGGTATTATTTGATTCCTTGAGTTGATGCCGAACAAGCCACGGCCATTGCTCGCCAGGCCGTGCAATGCGAGGGGAGCGTGACGGCCACGGCGGGGGTTCTGACCACAACCGTGCCACTTATAGCCGCGCCCGTGGCGCCAATAGCGCTCGCCCCAACAGCCTGTGTAGGCTACAAGGGGGTGAACATTGTGTGTGAGTGGTGGTGCAGCGGTTAGCGCGCTGCGCAAGGCACCCGACGACCAAAATTCTATTACCGCTCACAGCCAACACCGGTGACGATTATCATGAACCGGGCCTGGCCTCCCCTAGTCGACTCAGCCTCAAATAAATATACCTCGTGCTATGTGTAAACATACTCTCTGGGGAGACAAAAGCGGCCGGGTGTAGAACTGGCCACCTATCTCGTGTGTTGTGCCGGCCTTTGTATGCGCTCGCCAACTGCACTAACTGCCTCGCCTTGGTATACAGGAGGTCGTGGGTTCGATCCAACCCTGACACCTGCTGTATATTCGAGTTTGCACGTTCTCCCCATGGTCACGTGGATCTTTCTCCGGGTGCTCTGGTTTTTCCCTCCACATTTAGAAACATTTTAGAGTATTTGGGTGTTGTACATTTCCACACGATAAGAAATCGACTTTGTTTAGCTATCATTTGTGGCCAGGTCGTTCCAGGGAAAAAACAACTTTATAGCTCAGTGGGCCTCACCTGGTAAAATAAGAAATAGTTTAGTTTCGTGGTTTGTATTCGCCTCAAAAAGTCTGTTAAGGGCGATAACACGGGGGGGTCTTTATCTATGTGTGTGCGCCCACAGCTGCACGTGAACCCCAACTACAAGGTGCGCGAGTCGGACCTACTCCAACAACATCGTGCGCTGCGGACGTGCGCTACACGGGGAGGTTCGCTTCGGCCACCAACTGTCGCATCTCCCCGTAAGAGTCTGCACACACACGCACACACGCACAACACGCGCACACACAACAACAACAACCGCCATTTGCCACTAAGTGGCGGTGACGGTCACCACGATGCTTGTGCCAGGCCATGTGCACCTTGAGGCCACGTGAAGTGTCGAACGCCCGCTTGCAGGAGATCACGGGGCAGACCCAAGCGCCAGAGGTCGACTGACTGAGATGACTGAGATGACTGGCTGATGCACCACCTTTGCCCCCTACTGTGCCAACCTGCTGTGCTTTAGCCACCCGGCGCTCCGCTCGTTGTTGTGAGCGTCGCTCCGCCGCCCTCCGTTGTTGTTGGAGGGCGACTGCCTCCAACTGCCCAGTAGCGTCCTTCACGAGCCTCCTCCACAGAGGCCGATCTTGACACCCGCTGGTACCAGTCATCGGCAAGTCCACTCAGCTCACGTCCTCCTGTACCACATCACTCCATCTCTTCTCTAGCCCGTGCCGCGCCCATTTAGCCCCCTCGACCCGGCCGAACAAAAGCTGTTGTAAGCATGTGGTGGCTGGGCATGCGGGCTACATGACCCAGCCAACGCAGCTTTGCCTGCCGGAGGAGCTCACCGATGGGACCTTGTCCAGATCTTTCAAGGATATGTGAGCTCCTCACACAATCCAGCCTGGTTAAACCAGGATGGATCATAGACAGGCCAGCCTAAATTTTTCTAACCGGCGAAGATGTTCCATTAGGGGGGTCCACGTTTCGCCAGTGTAGAGAAGGAAGGGAATGACTGTCGCCAAGAAGACCTGAAGCTTCGTGCGGAGTGACAGACTAGGTAGCTTCCACACAGCGTTACGCAACCGATGAAAAGATAATGTTGCTCGACTGATTCGGAGTGAGACCTCTGCTGTCAAACCGGAGCCGGTCATGAGCACACTGCCCAAGGTTTGGGAAACTCTCCACTCTCTCCACAACTGCCCTATTACCAATTGGGAGTTGTGGGGGTAGAATTTCCGATGGTACAAAATACCCAGGGAGGTGCTTAGTTTTGGTGGGCTGATGGTAAGGGCCCACCTCTTAGTGGCACACTCCAGTTTCAGCAGCAGCGCCTCCAACTCCTCCTCTGAATGAGCAGCTATTACCAGACCATCGCCATACATAACATGGTTGAGCATTTGTGAGCCATCTCTTGACCGCACTCGGGCATCGATCAGCCTCCCATTGTATCTGTACCAGATGGAAAGTCCCTCCGGTACGGCTATTGACGGCTTCACGAACTACGTGGTCGAAATAGATGTTAATAATGTGGGAGCCAGAGGACATCCTGTCGCACCTCAAAATCAACAGGAAATGGCTCCGACTCTCGGCCATGTAGTTTTTACCCAGGCCCGCTCACCATCATGAAGGTCCTTAATAATCGTGAGCAGTGGGTCAGGGCTCCGAAAGCATGAAGAACAATTCAGAGCCCACGCCTACTGATGGTATCATAGGTCTTGACCAGGTCAATAAAGCAAAGATGTAGGTCTTGTTGGAATTCCCTACACCTCTGCCGCAGCAGACAGACAGAAAATATGGCATCTGTGCAGGACCACGCTTTCCTGAAACCACATTGGGGCTCAGGCTCTGGATCGCCTTTGTACTTCCTCAACAGATGGCACCTCAGCCAGCCACTCACAGGAGGTGACTTCCTTTTCCAATATTTGAGGCACTGCAGCCTCAGCAGGGTCATCCCACTTTGTCCCAACGATGTTTTCCAGGCTGAGGGATTTCCCCTCCCCCAGGACCTTACAGAAATGCTCAGAAAATCTGCAAACCTGTTCCTGGGGGTCAGAGAATTTGATCACCGTTCTTTCCCCTAATGATGGTAATGGTGTGGCGCTGCAGGTTACTTTTTTATGGAATTAAAGAGCGATTTCTGATTGCGGGCCAATGAGGCAGACTCCATCTCCTCAGCAATCCACGACCACCAACATCCTTGCAAGCGCTCACGGCTCTTCGAACCTCCGAGCGAAAGCTGTGGTAAGCCTCCTCATTCTCTGACGTGGGATGCTGTAGACGATGAGAGTGGGCCTGTCGCTTTTTCTCAGCCAGCCTGAACACCTCCTCTGTCTGCCAGGGTCTTTGAGGAGGTCTGGACCGTGTACCCAAAGCAGCCATTGCAAGCTGCATGAGCCACAGTCCTAAACCTCGCCCATTTACCCTCGAGATCAGGAGGAGTGGGGACGATGCCAACCGCGCCGCAAGCGATGATGAAATCCTCGTCCTCCCTCTTTCATCAGCTAGCTGAGACCATGCCACTATGGGTTTTAATGGGATCCTGGGTGTACACCCAGGATCCCATCTTACAGATGACAAGTCGATGGGCCAGTGGCAGATCAGCTCCACGCTAGGTCCTGGTGTCAAGGACATGGGCCCGCATCCGCTGTTCCGACGGTACTGGTCCAGCTCCCGACAGAGGAGTGGAAGCCTCTCCTCCGCAGTGAGCGTTCGAACATTCCACGTGGCCATCCGTAGTGGCTTTTTGTTGTTTCTTGAGGAGCCCCGAGGGTAAGGATTCAGTCTCCTGGCTCCGCCAAATGGGGTTTGGCCAGTAGACATCATAGACACCATGTCCCCCCTGGGGCCTCCGGCACAAGCTTAATAAATGTTTTACCTCGTAGTTTAGTGTAGTTCATTGAAGGTGGAGGGTTACCAGCCCCTCGCACCCGTCCAGAGCCCCCATTTGGCCGCTGTGGTGGTTACAGTCGCCAGTAAGGGAAAGGCCAATCTAAATTGGCCCTCCCCCCACGGCACTGCCCACCACAGGAGGTAGAGGGTTGTTTTTGCCGCACACACGCACGCACACACGCACGTACGCACGTACAACACGTATGCACACACAAAGACAAAGATCCCTGTACAGCCTTCACAGACTTATGGGGGCAGGTGCTGTTAGGGAGCACCTATGAAGGCTGGCATGGCACACAAGGGGGTGGGTGGCCCAGCACCATGCCCGGCCGCCTTTGTATCACGAGTGGCGATGTTTACACACCAGACACACACTCACACTGACACACACACACACGTACTCACACTCACCCCCCTCCTCCCTGCCCACAGATACTGAGAGGCGAGGACCTGGGACTGATACTTGAAGACCCCGCCTGCTCCCCTCCTCGCCTGCCCCCCTCCTCGCATGCCCACATCCACTCCGGGTTCTGTTGTCCGGGATCCACATGGGGAGAAGGTGGGGAGGGGCTGGAAGGTTGGGGTGCGACGATGCGAGTCAACACAGCTGAGGCAGCAACACCGCGGACATCCCACCACCCAACGCATCCGCACCTCCCCTCACCGACCCACCAACCCCACACACCCTGCCTCGCCTCCTGCTGTTCCACGTCCTGCCCTGTCCCTAAACACTGCCCTGTCCCTAAACACTGCCCTGTCCCTAAACACTGCCCTCTCCCTAAACACTACCCTCTCCCTAAACACTGCCCCTGTCCCTAAACACTGCCCTCTCCCTAAACACTGCCCTGTCCCTAAACACTGCCCTCTCCCTAAACACTGCCCTGTCCCTAAACACTGCCCTCTCTCACCACACTGCCCTGTCCCTAAACACTGCCCTCTCTCTAAACACTGCCCTCTCTAAACACTGCCCTCTCCCTAAACACTGCCCTGTCCCTAAACACTGCCCTCTCCCTAAACACTGCCCTCTCTAAACACTGCCCTCTCCCTAAACACTGCCCCCTCTCTCTCTAAAACACTGCCACTCTCTCTCTAAACACTGCCCTCTCTAAACACTGCCCTCTCCCTAAACACTGCCCCCTCTCCCTAAACACTGCCCTCTCCCTAAACACTGCCCTTTCTCTCTAAACAACTGCCCTCTCCCTAAACACTGCCCCCTCTCTCTCTAAACACTGCCCTCTCCCTAAACACTGCCCTCTCTCTAAACACTGCCCTCTCTCTCTAAACAACTGCCCTTTCTCTCTAAACAACTGCCCTCTCTCCCTAAACACTGCCCCCTCTCTAAACAACTGCCCTCTCCCCAAAGCAGCGCGCCCTCTTTTGTTGGCAATTTGTTCCCAGCGCGTATCCCGACGACGGCGCGATTGTCGCCGTCGCACCGTCGTCGGGAGGGAACGGAGAATCCATTCGGAAATCTCGCAGGGGGCCATGCGCCCCGGGGAGTTGGGAGAGATGTTGTAGCCGGGGGCTTCCAGAAAATCTCCGGCCAGGTGGCCCCGCGGCAGCAGACCCAGGTCGGCCTCGAGTCGGAAGGTCGCGAGTTCAAATCCATGGTCGGGGTGGGTATGGGGGGTGGGGGTTGATTCGCTCGGCCCACCATCCCTTTGGGGGTCTATAAGAAGAGTACCGGTTTGCGCATCGGTCAGCAGTGGTTGTTCTGTGGGTAGACTCGCCCTCGTCATACACATTGGCAATTTCCTACGGCTGGCTCAGGGCTGTAAAACGGGAGATGAGCACCGCAGACGGACCCCGTCTGAGGAGCAGGAGATCTCTTGGGACTTTTTGGCTCCTGAAAGAAAATACTGCGAGTGGCCTGGGCAGGGGCGCACCTTCCCACGCGTCCTGCTGTGAGATTTTTCCACACGATGGATTCATTACTTTATTTTAAATTCCCAGAGTTTAGCCCAAGTTTAGTTGAAAACAACATTTTACGTCATAGGTGTTTTTTGTTTGTTTGTGCAATCATTGGTGACCGAGTTGAGACCATCCAGTTTAAATCAGAACTTCACATGTCTAATTATATGGGTCTCTATTTGAGTTTATGGGTCTCTATCTGAGTCTATGGGTCTCTGTTCGAGTCTCTTAGTGAGTGTAGGGGTCTCTCTGACAGTCCTATGGGTCTCTATATGAGGCTGTAGGTTTCTCTGTGAGTCTATGAGTCTCTGTGTGAGTCTATGGGCCTCGATTCGAGTCTTTGTGGATCTCTTAGTGAGTCTAGGGGTCTCTGTGTGAGACTGTGGGTATCTATTTGAGTATATGGGTCTCTATGCTAGGTTATTGGTCTCTGTTCGAGTCTCTGTAGGTGTCCTAGT